CAGTTCTCAATCACTTAATAGTTAGCACAACCCTACCACAGTAGAGACACATTGCATCCTTTATCAATTCCTTATAAGCAGACTAAGTTTGGATTAGTTAATCAATGTTTTGTCTCTGTTCGTTGAATTACAAATGGCATTTGAGTGACATGAACAAAACACGGCGTAACTAGTCTAAGATAATTCCTTCTTTATTAATAAGGGGGACAAGTCTTAACTTATCATTAGAAAAGTGATGTTTTTTTATTATTTATTGTGTGACTGTGGATATTGTTCGATAGATAACAGCCTATTTTAGTTCGACAGCCGATAGACCGTCGATATACCTTTCGACCTACTCTGACCTTTTGTCTCAAGTTACAGATATTGTTTCGAAGAATTTTGTTAGGTCTTGATCGATGAGCTATGAGAAAGCCAAAGGAATTTGATACTCAGAAAAATAGTGTTGCTCTTTTCTTATAAAATATTTTGATACATAGTGAATAGCATTTCTAATACGCTGCCTTCAGCGTGACAATTTGTGTATTTGTTACTCAATCACGCAAAAGCGGGTTAACGGATTCAGATGAAATTTAACACATATATGGTTTGTTACCTAGATTTAGACATAGGATATATTTTATCCCGAAATAATATTAGGTTCCTGTAGGATTCTCCAAAAACTAATTATAACGTTGCGGGCGGAAGCTAGTATATACAGAAACGATGTTACTACCCACAATTTTCGAGTCTTGGTCAATACTATAGGTTGTAGGACATTTTTTCTAGCAATAAAATGCTGTAATAATCATAAAAGCTCACCATTAAGACCATCTCATAAAAATCCTTCCAGACTAATTGACTTATGAGACATTTTATATTGCACTCGTATCTGCTCTGATTGAGTCATACTATGGCTAACACAGAACACAGAAAGTGGTTAGACGGGTGATCATATGTCGCCGGCTCGCCCCCACTACCCTTGCTTCTAATAGATAATAGCCAATCAAACGATGCGATATCAAAAGCTAGATTATAATTTATGATGCTATTGAGTAAATTAGCCTAAATATAGCAATAATTGTCACATAAGACAGAAAAGTCGCCCATCTATGAGTCATTTTGGTATGCGCTGTAAAAACCACAAGAGTTACATGAATATAATGTATAGTAGAAATGTATGTCTTAAATAGTTCTACAAAAAAGTACGCGACCGCATTTTATCGCTAAAATCGTGATTAAAAAATAAAATATACATTTCAAAATGCACATTTTGTATTCACAAACTATTTATATCAAAACAAATACTTTTATCACTTTTAATATTAAAAGTGATAAAAGTATTTGTTTTTGATAAATTACCTTTTACGCTAAATTCATTTTAACGGGAAAAATAACAACAATGGATGCGAAGGCTTTCATCAACCTGCGACATTAACGTCATTGATTAGTACTGTACATAGGGTGATAAACCACGTTTGAAGTTAACCTCTGGCATCTACAACTTTGGTTTCTATGAATAATGTAGGCAAAACAAATTATGAGAAAAATATATGAAACTGCATTTGTGTATATAAAAATCTTAAAGCCTGACGTTGACAATGCAGCCACTGCCAATTTTGAATAGTCGACGAATAAAAGTAAATGAATTTTATATGTACCCCTAAACTACTAAAAAGAACATACGCAAAAGGTGACTTTTTGAATAAGTACTAGTTAACTATAAAATTTACATGCATTAGATATATAGGTAACAACTTGATTAAACTCCACACATTTTTGCGGAAATTGAGGCCCATTTGTAGCATTAACCCTCATGGTAAGGTCTCTATATGTCTTAATAAATCAATCGTTTAGACCACCGCTAGGTACCTAATAATCCTCGCGATATTAAATCCCTTACTGAAGTGACAAGACTGCGGTCTACGTTTTATAATCCTAATTAAAAAGTGTGAAATAAAAAAAGTGAATTAAAAAATTAAAATTACCCGACTGCCGACCGAAAAAAAAACCAAATCCAGTAGTCTAATAATTCTGTTAAGTAAGGAACAAAGCTACTTTAACAGTCGGGACCGATAAGATATTCAAGAATGGATATTTTTTTTTAATAATGCGTCCCGACTGTTATAGTAGCTTTGTTCTTTACTGAACAGAATTATTAGACTACTGGATTTGTTTTTTCTTTTCGGTCGGCAGTCGGGTTTTTAGATTTTATTTTGCCGTGGGGAAAATGCGTAACATATATCCCGCTGCCTGTCAAGCGGCGAGGTTATGTGAGACTCTCCTCCAAGGACTCAGCCAACGAAGGTCCATCGATAAGGTCTCGGTGGCCTAGCCACTAAAAACCTCACGGCGCACCCTCGGTTGGGTGTAGTACCCGAGAAACCATTTCCGAGGCATCGGGCCACCCACTCCCTGTTGGAAGGACCTTCTGGTCCCCCACGGGCGGGAAAACCTCAGGCGATTGAAGCCTCTCCCCAAAATGGTGATAACGTGCAATGCGAGTGGTAACCCAACTCCAGGCTAGGCTAATTGGTGTGAGTGTTAAAAATATTTTCCAACCCCAACACAAGCCTTACAGTGGGACAAGGCTAATTGGTGTGAGTGTTACAAATGTTTATTTATTATTATAGATAGTATTTCATTTGAATGTAGTAGTAAAGGAGAAACTATATAGTTTCCTTTTTACTTGAAAACCTAAAATATCTTCAGTCATTAAGATACTGATATCAGAAAAAAAATATTTTTATCGTGCTTTTCATTAAGTATAATACCCTAATTACACTTGAACTTGACATGGTTTATCAGTTCAAAAGCTTCTAGTCATTGTCGATATTGTATATCTGTTATTTGTTTACGTTCGGCTAACAACACAATTCATTTAATAAACTTTTTTATTCGCGCTTAGGATCAAAATTCAGTTAGGTAAAATATATTGGAAAGCATCACAAAAATAACCGCATTTAATTTTGCTTAAAACATACCCCACCGCCTGTTAAACGGAGTAGTTATTTGGATCTAGGACTATAATACAAGATAACAAGATAACTTACTTACAAAACTAGATGGGATAGAACCATGATAAAACCAACCCTCATCTAAGTGTGAGTTGCACCACAGAATCAGTTAGAGTTAAATTAAAATGAAATAAAACCTGCCCAGCTTGGATAGGTATTGTCACTGTCAAATTATGATCTCATTTTGGCTATTGTCAAATAGAACTGCCCATTTTTTACCTAACATGTATTTCAACTGAGGCCCTAGCATGAATTTTTGACATCTCCGTAACGTATCGTCCTCGTGAAATTTTGTATGGAAAAAACTAGTTTGTTCTTTCATCCGATAGGGGCGTTACTAAGTTTTCATATAAACATTGACGATGCGATACGTTATGGAACTGTTAAAATTCGTGCTAGGGCCTCTGAACAGTTAAAGTTAAAGAAAGTTGCTGCAACACACGCTATGAATTGTAGGCCGTGTTGTATCATCGACAGTAAAATTTTATTACGGTTAAAGTCACGTGAAATACAAAGTAAATGTGTCAATTTTTTAGAAATAGTTATCTATTGGATTTTACTATAGTCAATAGTATATAAATGAGGAGCTCGATGGCGCAGGTGGTTAGCGCGTTCGGCTGCGATGGTTGAAGTTAAGCAACTTTCGCAGTGGTCGGTCATGGGTGGGTGACCAAAAACTTCTATCTCGAGTTCCTCCGTGCTTCGGAAGGCACGTTAAGCCGTTGGTCCCGGCTGCAACTGCAGTTGTTAGCATCCGCCAATCCGCACTGGGCCCGCGTGGCGGGTCCCTATTCCATCCATAGGGAAGGCTTGTATGGGAACATTAATAGGCTGATGATGATGATGATAGTCAAAATAACTACAGATGAAACAAAGCGACCTAAGTGTCGACAAATCATGCTCGTCTTGGGGAACGAATTAAGTAGGAAAAAAAATGCTTCTTTTAAAAACCCGCCAATTCTCGGCTTGAGGTCCCCTTAGGATCTCGGCATCCCCAAACCCGGTGACGCTGTAAAGGTAACCTGCAACTAACAACATACACAGTAAAAAAAAAAGATCTAAATGACACTACATAAATGATATGATAGTGTAATGACGGGTTATCTATATTTCATCGCCTGTTTTTCCTCTACATTAAATTCATCTATCAAAATCATCAAAGTAGGTAGGTAAAATAAAATAAATGCATACAGGTATTTTTAAATGTGTTTTTTCAGGTATATCTAATTAAGATAAGAATATGGTAGATAAGACAATAGTACTTCTAAAGATTGGACGAACAGCTGGGAGCTGCCAGACCTAACTTAAATATTATTTTATTATAACTGTAACAATCAAGAGAATTCTCATCTCTAATTTAATTAGCATAATGTTATTTCTAACTAACAATTTGATTTTTGGCCCACTTGTCAGATAATTTGTATTTTATTTTACTTATATTATTTGCCAATCAAATACTCTTTTGGCTTAGACTTTACATTAATTTATCAGTAAAATAAATATAACACAGGCGTTTTCTATATCATACGTTTGTTATTTATTTATGTGATTAATGAAGATTGCTTTGTGTAGTTCTTTTATTATATAACTATTAACTTTTCAATAAATAATAGTTGGGGAGCTCAAATGGGATTTACTAGAGCCCGACAGAATTACAAAAGGATCCACCTGGTACCTTGTGAAGCACACGAACCTGCACATCCCATAGCTCCTATTCAAAAGACTGACGATTTGGACGCGACTAAAACTTATAGCCGATTAAATCTAAAGATTTTTTTTACCAGAAAAAATCCACTCGTACCAGGTAGCAGCCGGTACGCAAACCCGCATCCTCCGCTATCCGGATGGATGCACTATCCATTATGCTACCGCGGCCCTGATGACCATGTCGAATTCTTTCTAGCATTTCCTAATCTGAAAGGCAGCGCCATCACTTCGAATTGTAGGTAACCCACAATATTCACACAATATCATAGCCGATTGTTTTCGACCCTACATAAATGACTCAGGTATGATGGGAGTACTTCACATGGTGCATAACTGCAAATCCCAAAATCCGCGCTCCATTTCCACAGATATTTTATTACTGTAATAAGTAAACTGTAAAGCGCGTTAAGCCGTTGGTCCCGGCTGTATCTGCAGTCGTTAGCACCCATCATTCCGCACTGGGCCTGCGTGGTGGGTCATAGCTCAATCACCCTATTCCATCCATAGGGAAGGCCTGTTCCCCAGCAGTGGGGACATTAATAGGGTGATGATGATAATGATGAAGTAAACATTTCAGCAGATATGTCAACTAAACAGTTAAATATTATTTGCAGCTTCTTATCACATCTACGTAAGTCCAACTAATGTTATATTCAACAAAAAGACTAGCTATGCAATTGAGTGGTTATTTTAAGAAGTGCGGTTGTGGATTTAAATGGCCATTCAATTGTACTGCTAGTAAAACATCGCAGGGCCTTTATTGCGAAGTACTAAGAGCGTAATTCGTACAGTATGTGTGTTTGTCGACTGTAGGTATGGAGTTTTTTCTATACCGCATATCATATCATACGGCAGCCAAATCATGACGCTTTATAAAAGTGATGTAATGACAGCAGCTCGGTATTCCTTCGTCAACGATCCATGCGCGCACAATGGCCAAAAAACTCCAATACTTTAACGTAAATGGCCGCGGGGAGGCAATAAGGTACATGCTACATTATGGTGGCCATAAGTTTGAGGACATCCGATACGAAGTAAAGGACTGGCCAATACAAAGTGTGAAAGACTGTGAGTGTTTAATTCAACTACTTTTTCAGTTAGCTAACATCACTACATAGTATAAAGCAAAGTCGCTTCCCGCTGTCTGTCACTATGACCCTATGTATGCTTACATCTTTAAAACTACGCAACTCTTCAGTCTCAGGTCTATTAGACGAGCATTCAAACGATGTCCTGTTTTTCTTCGATATGCCAGAAGCCCTAAGTCTTCATTTAACACCCTTTTCACCGTGGTTCTGCTTAACCCCATCTGAAGGGCCAACAGTTTCTGCTTACGTTTGGGATTTCTTTGAATTCGCGCCTTCACAGCTTTTAGCAGTGGCTAGAGTCCTAACAGACCGAGGGCGACCACTTCTTGACCTGTCGACACTAGAGTCTTCATTGTATCGTTTGATGGTACGATAAACGAATCTTTTGGTTATATTCAAAATTTTCAGTATGTCAAAAATTTGAATTGGCGCGTAACCGCAACGATGCAACGCAATAACTGCAACACGGCCTTCTTTAGGTGTCCCCTCCATATTCAAAAATGAGTAAAATTCTAAAAAGTATACATTTTTATTTTCATGAACAATTCGAAATTTGAATTCAATAAACTTTTTTGTGGCCAGCATTCTAAAAGAAAAGTTTTTACTGTGTGACAATACTTATGACCTGACTGTGTATAATACATGCATAATATAGTAGAGAAACACTGATAATTTTAGAGGTTTCTAATGTAAGGTCCTAAATTAACTCATTTTTTGCGCTTACATTGCAAGCGCTGGCTGAACCCTACGAGATAGATCAAAATAATGTAATACAGTATTATACACCTTAAAAAGGTCTACAAAAAAGTCCGCGATGGTATATGTCTATCTCTTAGGGGTAACCCACAATAACCATATTTAATTCTACACTTTTTACGAGAAATAATTATACCTTATGGTACGAGTATAAATGCTCTGAGCTATTTTTGCATTTGGATAAGATAAGATAATAATATTCAGATCAGAACGGGTCGACCGGTTCGGGTGATTATATTATTATTTTATGTTCGTTATTTGGAGGACAACATTGTATGAAAATAATATAAGTTTTTTATATTAATATCCCCTACCCTATTATAGTACAGGGCTACCCTATTTTTAAATTTATTTTAATTATATATTTATTTATAGTTAGGCAACGGATTGATGGAAAAGGGATATTGTTATTAGGAGATTGGGTCATGAAGTGCCGATTGCCACATAATAGATATTATTATTACTAGACACACAAATTAATTTTTGACGTGACAACGTCTTAAATTAGGTTGCGGCTGGGAGTCACTTATGAAAAAGTGTAACGCTCGGTAACGTTACGATGAGTCTCTCGTGTTAAGTTTAAGTTTACATGTACAATGTTTTAGTAAACAAAATATATTTCTATAGTTAAAATTTGTGCAATTCTTATTTTCATTCAATTCCTTGTTCCTATTGTGCAATTTAATTATATTCATATCAATAAATATTCTACCGAGAAAAAGACGTTGTCACGTAAAATCTTCGCCCGTAAAACCGACTTTACAGGCAACCATTTTTTTTCACAATTTTTTCAGCTCTACCTTATGGTCAGTTTCCTCTATATGAAGAGGACGGGAAGACTCTTAACCAGTCTTTGGCCATTGCACGCTACGTCGCCAGCCAGTCGCAACTACTGCCTTCTGACCTTTGGCAGCAGGCAGTTTTAGATGCGGTGGTCCACAACATTTATGACTTCTGGAATAAGAACAGTAAGTATGATGTTATTATGTAAAAATCTGGTAGGTACAGAAGGATATATTTGTCCAGTATGCTAATAAATGGACACCACGGATGAAAGTGGTTGACGACCCAGTGCGGATTGGTGGGTGATCACGGACCCAAAGCGGATTTGTGGGTGATAACGGACCCAGTTCGGGATTGGCGAAAAAAGATTAGTCAGCAGTTTACTATTTTTTCTATTTAAATACGTGTACATGTTCGATCGGAATAGTTAGTTTTTTCTCTGTGATATCAATATCATAATATTGGAAGCACTGAAACGAACGATTCAAAAATGCAGAAAAACAGCATCATAATTATGACGTAGGGGTCGAGTTTAAACGAGAGATTTAAAAATAGGTCTCCTGTCCCAGCAGTATGAGCACCACGATTATAATATCTATATAGATATATGCCTTTGGTTATTTAGCATATAGATTTTATCACCTTTGTTTGAGGGTCAATGACGATAAATTTCTTTATCATAGTGTTTCAGAGGTCATGCTAGTTGGCTGGGTTATGAATATGCTTTATTCCCAATTCACGTAAAAAGAGCTGTTATTACTGTGTAAACAGCAGTTTATGTAGCAAAATTAATTCAATCCAGTTAGTTGAAGATTATTACATAACTAATTATACGTGTGATCAATGCAAAATCTGGGACAGGTTCGGACATCTAACACAATGGGTGTTGTTCATGAGATTTACATTATTCTAAAGAAAATTCCATGCGGAAACCAAATGGCACCAGCCGCCTGGACAGCGTGGATTTTTTTTAGTAAAATTTCCTTTAGATTTATATATCGAAATAGTCGTTATAAGCCCGTACTGGTTAACATATTCTTAGGTTTTCACGCACATAACTCATTATCAGAACTCAGAATTCTGACGAAGCAGACCTGAAAAGGCTGCGAAACGTCAATAAATAAATAAAGTTTCGTGCATTAACCCGTTAAAACTTTTGTTTATTTAGCCGTTATAAGCTTAAAAAATATATAATTTATAAATTTTCCAACAGAATTAGCGGAATATATGAGAGGGGACGCTGAAACGAGAGCTGCTCTTAAAAAGCAGACTTTTGAGGAGCACATTCCCTTCTACTTACCCAGATTTGAAAAGGAACTCAAGGCAAATAACGGGCATTTTGCTGGAAAGGTATCTATCTATCTATAAAATTTTAAATATCACCTTTAGAAAATGTAAAAGCATTATTCTTCTTCAACCTTAATCCCACTGCTGGGTATAGGTCGCTTTCATGTTGCATCAATTTGCTCGATGTTGTGCCATCCGGGTACTTTGGTGATGACTCGGACCATCTGCTTGGGCTGCTTCCCTACATTTTTCGGCCTGAGGCCCAAGCACGAATTTTGACAGCTCTGTAAAGTTTGTACAACTGTATGTCAAAGTTTCTATGAAAATGTTATCAAGTAACGTAACAATCAATGTACGAAAGGATTCATTTATACCTATGTTTGAAGAAGACAGATGAGAATGCATTAAGTACGATAAAGATACATACATATGCCCACTGAAACAATCCGTGTATCAGATGAGATCAGATGAAAGTTTGTGCAGTAAAAATAAATTATCCGACTAATGTGAGACCATGAATTCAATATGTCGTAATATCTGGATGGATTTAAATAATATAAATACTTATTTTTTTTTTGTTCTGGTCAATGCACTGTCCGCGTCATATGCGAGACTCAAGTTACCACCGAACGACTTATCATGGCTGGAATAATCACACTTAGCAACGATTGCATAATCAAAGGCGATAGCTTCACAGTATATCCGCATAAGAAATATTCAAATACAATTGAGCAAAAGGCCGATATCATAAAATTTGATATTCCACCTATCAATAATATCATGAATATAACTATCTATACGCCTTCCATAGTGACTTCAGGCAATGTCACTAATCCTGATGATCTGGCGGAGATAGATTGGCAGATTCATTCGTACCACGCGTTCTCACAGTCATATCATTTTAGTTTCGTATTTATCAGTTTGTTATCAGTAATATATCATTTTAACATATCAAGACTTTCTCTTCTCTCATTTTATTATAAAAGGTGCACAGAACCCGTACAAATATAATTTCAGTCTTCGATTAATTTTATGGAGAGTCCAAAATTAAAATCAATCGAAGACTGAAATTATATTTTATTATTAAGATACGTATACATTACAGTGCGCTTCACAAGGCTCTCTCTTACTGAGAGAGCTTTTTCACGGTCTTGCCGGTCGTATATGTAGATCATATATCGTGCATCTACATAGTATAAACCATGTACATTACATATGGACACAGTACAGTACAGGTAGTTACAATCATTTATTTAATATTTCTTTTTCTAGTTGACGTGGGCTGACTTCATTCTCGTGGGAATGGTTGAAACTCTCAACCTTTTTTACGGCGAACACATCGAAACTGAATACCCTACAATCGCTTCTCTCGTCAAGAAAATCCAAAATCTACCCAAGGTCAAAGAATATATAGCAGCAAGGAATCCTTACACTTATAAATAAACAAATTATTCAGCTTTACAGTGTGGTTTATTTATTTAAGTATTTTGAAAAAGGATATAAAGTAATAAGCAGAACTCAATTTTGTTTAAAGAATATTACTTGGATTAAAAATAATTTCTTTCGGCATTAGGGATGATGACTAACTTTTCCTTCTTCATCAATCTGGTAGATTATCAAAAGTATTGGACTCGTATTTGAATTTTTTTACACATTAAAAATGTTACATAGATATATTGATTTGAATTATGACGGGATGTCACGCTATCGCACATCACGAGCCCCCACTCCCAAAGTTTGTAGCGCTTTGTATCTTTGTTTTTTTTTGTTTGATTGACAAAAGAAAAAATAAGTGTCTTATTTTTTAATAATCTGGCGGACTAAATAGAATTTAGTTTACAGTAGCACGTCATCCATCCCTATTCTTTGCTACCAAATCCTTGATGAATCAGTAGAATTTCTTCTTCTTCGATCTTCTAGCAGCACTATTTCATTTTTGACATTTCAGGTAATTCAATTATATGCGATACTTTTATAAGTATTAAACCAAAAGCAATGTAGTTAACTACTAGTTGGTGTGACGGTTGGTATACGGTTGGTAACCGGCCTCGCTTAGATAGATAGTAATTGTCACTGTCAAATTATGATCTCGTTTTCACATCCTCAAATAGCACTGCCCATTTTTTTACCTCAGATGTACTTCAACTGAGGCCCTAGCATGAATTTTTGACAGCCACGTAACGTATCGCCATCGTGAAATTTTGTATGGAAAAAACTACTTTGTTTTTACATCCGATAGGGGCGCTTCTTAGTTTTCATATAAACATTGACGATGCGATACGTTACGGAGCTTGGGCCTCTCAACAGTTAAAGTAATTTGGTGCAACACACGCTATGATTATAAGAACGTGTTGTTTCATCGATAGTAAAATTTGACTACGCTTATAGGCACATGAAATACATAGTAAATGTGTCATATTTTGTCAAATGGTTTAACTATAGTCAAATTTAACTACAGAACAAATAACGCGGCCTAGGTCTCGACAAATCATGCTCGTCTTGGGGAAGTTATTAAGTAAGAAAATAAAATGTTTCTTTTCAAATCTCGCCAATTCTCGGCTTGAGGTCCTTTAGGATCTCCACACGGACCAGGTAGCAGACGGGACTCGAACTCGTACCCTCCGCTATCCGGGCGGACGCACTGACCATTATGCTACCGTGGCCCTGATGACCGTGTCGTATTCTTTCTAATATTTCTTAGGCTGCAAGGTAGAGCCATCTCTTCGAATTGTAGGTAACCCACAATATCACAGCCGATTGTTGAAATTTGTTTTTACTGCCCTTGATGTTCGACCCTGCATAAAGGACTCAGGTATGATGGAATTACTTCACAAGGTGCTAATCCTAAAATCGTCGCTCCTTTTCCACTGTTACGTTATTACCGTAATAAGTTAACATTTAATAATAATAATAATAATAATTTCTTTATTTCAGGCAAAAGACCCATATGACAAAATTGACAAAATTGATAATAAAAATTAAAAATAAAACTGTGTATATTATAAAATTACTTAAAAAATAACATAGGATTTGCTGAATGTTTATTTCAGACTGTCATTTCCAAAACGATGTAATTTATTCCAATGTTTAAAAAATACATTGTCCACGTCATCGTGGATGTTGCGGAGAATGGAGTTCCCACTTTCACGGAGCCTCTCCCAGAACGAAGCGGACCGCGATCTGAGGATACAGAAAGAATCGGGAACATTTGCTTCAGCAAACATTTCCTTGGCACTACAATATTGCGGTTTTTTGAGCAGGATGCGAAAGGCGTCATTATATTGGACTCGCAGCACATTAAACAAACGTTTTGTATATCTCAGCCAAAGTTGACATGTACAAAACGTTTGGCAGTACGACTTAAACAACATTATCTTGACGTCTCTCGAACATCCACCGAACCGCCTTGCAAGCATATTGCACCTCACCGCAAGAGCCCTTCTCTCCCTCTCCATGTCGTCCTCATCGTTGAGCTGTCCATTCAATATATGACCCAGATATCTGAACCTCGTTACAACCCGAATTGGCGAACCATACAGCCACACCGGTGGAACGTTTACCGGACCTTTTCCGTTCCGAAAAATAACGACTTCAGTTTTAGCCACATTATATTTCAATCCATGTTCCCCAGCATAGGACTCACATATTGAAAGAAGCTTTCGAAGTCCATTAATCGAGGGACTCAGAAGAACCATATCGTCGGCGTAGCTCAGGTTGTTAACACATACGTTACCAACATGGCAGCCAACCCTGGCTCTTCTGAGTCTCTCGATCAATCCATTGACATAGAGGTTAAAAAGGTCCGGTGACGTCAGTCCTCCTTGACGAACACCGCAGTCTAATCTAAACTTATTAGATGTCGCGTCGCCCCATCTTACAATGTTAGTTTGGTTTTCGTACCAGTGTCTCAACAGGTTCACAACCGTGGGTGACACCGTGGTCTCTGTCAGTTTATGCCAGAGTAATTTATAATTAACAAGATCGAAAGCGCGGCTGAGATCTAGAAAACACGCATAGACTGTAGTTTCTCTCTTGTTACAATAACTGACAGTGTTCTTGAGCGCTAATATGGCAGAATCAGTTGAGACACCCCTACGAAAACCAAACTGTGCGACATTTAGTTTAATATTGTTCACCAATTCGGGATGCAAGATTCTCTCAAATATCTTGCCAACTATTGTACATAACGATATCGGACGGTCATTATTAGGACTGGACAAATCACCTGGTCTGTTCTTGGGGACAGGGACCACCACAGTTTTCATTAGATCAGCTGGAAGATACGTATGTTTAATACACGTATTAAACAAATCGGCTATCACCCTGAAAACTTCCGTGCTGGCATTAAGGATATGTTCTATGCTCAGACGATCGTGTCCCGGTGATTTTCCGTGTTTCATGCTACGAACTATACGGAAAACCTCATCAGGAGTAACTATGACTGGTCGACCCTGGGTAGGAATATATCTCGTATATGGTGGTACCCCATTCTCCCCAACATCCAAAGGCTCGACTCTAAAATGTTTTGCAAACAAGTTTGCAATGTCCGTCTTGTCATTGGTATTATTTATACTGGCTGGTAAAACATTTTTGCCTTTTGCCGCTTTCACCCCATTCCAAAACTTAACAAAGTTGTTTGAGGCTTTACTATTTGCCAATATATTCATTTTTATTATATTTTCATTATTCTGTGCCCATTTTAATTTGTTTTTAAATAATTTTCTACTTTGCGTAATATTATTGTAGTCAATGCCATTACTCGGTTTTCCTAGTTCAATCCATTGTTTAAAATATTGCCTAGCTATTTTATGACTTTCACTAACGTGAAAGTTCCATCCCAAAACTTTACGACACTTTTTTCTGGAATCGTTTTGAAAATGACAGCTTGAAATTGCAGCTTTTTGTAAAATTGATATAAAAGTATTATACATCGAATCAATATCCCTATAATGATATATTATATTTGTGCATTTTTTTTCATAAGATATATTTATACAGTTCGAACAATGACTAGAATATTTTAAATTTACTAAGTTACTATAACATATTTTTCTATACAATTTCATTTGATTTAAATTTCTTTCATTCCATATAATTCTATTTTCTTTATTATTTTGATCACAGTTATTAAAAGGAACTTTACTTAAAACTAACCCGATATTGAGTCGCATCACCATTGGGTAGTGGTCTGACCACGTTATGTCATTTTTTACCTACACCTCATCAACGGTGGCAAACGCTGACTCTGTAGTTGGACAGTGGTCCAACCATCTGTTACTCCCGTTTTGTTCACTAGTAAACGTAAACGTGTCCGAATTTATTCCCAGTTTAAGATAATCTGCACACTGCCATTTCATTTCCGAGCAAAACGATAACATTTCCTAGCCAAATAGTGTACCAGGGTGTGCGTTAAAATCGCCCATAATATAGCAGACCTCAATATCGAGCTCGTCAATCACTGCACTTATACATGAAAGGCAGTTTGTGAATTCCGTCAAGTTCTCAATATCATAACATGGCATATAAACATTGAAAACTAAAAATTCTTTAGAATTTACACTAACTTTAACACACAATACCCTGTCCGACTTACAGTTAATTAAAGATACATTATTAAAAACGTTTTTTCGCCAAAACAATGCCAGTGCACCGTACGGTCGACTCCTAAGCACCCCCGTTCCTGTGTCCACCGCGGACGTTGCTATACAGTCATAATTACTATCAATTTCATGTACCATATTCAAGTCATGGGGTAAAAGTCATGTTTCTTGAACAGCGACAATGTCAGCCTCCCTACATATTGCACGTACATGATTTACCGCCCTCTTAATAGATTTACAGTTGAACGAGGCCAATGTTAACATACTTTTTAAGCAGATTAGTCATCTAAACAGTTGGATATTATCTGCAGCTTCTTATCACATCTAAGTAAGTTGAACCAATGTTATATTCAACAAAAGGACTAGCTATGCAATTGAGTGTTTATTTTAACAAGTGTGGTTGTGGAATTAAATGACCATTCAATTGTACTGCTAGTAAATACATCGACAACGCCTTTATTGCGGAGTACTAAGAGCGTCATTCGTACAGTATGTGTGTTTGTCGACTGTAGGTATAGAGTTTTTTCCATACCGCTTATCATATCATACGGCAGCCAAATCATGACGATTTATAAAAGTGATGTAATGAAAGCAGCTCGGTATTCCTTCGTCAACGATCCGTGCGCGCACAATGGCCAAGAAACTGCAATACTTTAACGTAAATGGCCTCGGGGAGTCAATAAGGTACATGCTACACTATGGTGGGCATAAGTTTGAGGACATCCGATACGAATTAAAGGACTGGCCGATACAAAGTGTGAAAGACTGTGAGTGTTTAATTCAACTACTTTTTCAGTTAGCTATCATCAAATTATAAAACTAAAATTGGATCAAAGTATTTTTAGTGTCCTTTGTTATCGTATAAAAAAACTTAATAAAGAAATTCAATCTAACAAATAAATTTATTCAGTCTATTTTAAATCTCAATCTTCAAGGCTGTTTCTATGTCCGTACCGGGATCATATAAAAGTGGTTTAGCTTGAAATAGTGACAAACAAATGATAGGATATTTTCGCATTTATAATATTTGTATGAATTAGTCTAAAAGACATTTAGGCATTTCTTTCGTCCTCATGTGGTCAATTTGTGATCAATATTATTAGCTTAAATCACTGTTTTTGCATTTGGATAAGATAATAATATTCAGATCAGAACGGGTCGACCGGTTCGGGTGATTATATTATATTTTTTTGTTCGTACGTGTGAGAAAAAGATTTGTATGAAAATACAATAGGTTTTATTTTCATTACTCCATTGTATTCAAGCCACGACTCCACATAGTAACAGATATGAAAAAAATACAAAAAATCTTATCATGATAACAGTCATCGGCCGATATTTATCAATGATCTAATTATAAATAAAATAAAATAGAAAAATGTTTATCTAATTATTCACTAATGTTGGTTGGGGGTCGGTTTGCACAGAAACACTTAAAATTTTCAGTACTTTATTCCGCAAAAACTCAGCACTGACTGCCCTCTCCGGTGTCAATTTCGAGCTTTTATAGAATATTGTGGTAGTATTGTTTCAACACTTTTAATCGACACCGGAATTGACAGTCGGTCATAACAAAGAAAGATTTATTTTATAATTATCAATTTAAAAACAAACATTGTTATTTGCTAATTAATTTTTCAGGAACGCGATTTTAATAATCTATACTTATAATAAATCTGTAGAGAGGTCAATTCTGTACATGAAATATATTTTCAAAATAACTATCAGGGGGTGATAAGTGATCGATACTGATGCCAAAAGTGCAATCAGTAAAATTTTTGTCTGTCTGTCTGTCTGTCTGTCTGTGTGTATGTTCCTTATAGAAACAAAAACTACTCGACAGATTTTAACGAAACTTGGTACAATTATTTTTCATACTCCTGGGCAGGTTATAGTATACTTTTCATCACGCTACAATCAATAGGAGCAGAGTAGTGAAGGGAAATGTTGGGAAAACGGGAGAAGTTACTCCATTTTTTAAGCTTCCGTCGCGTGTGCATCCTTAATGGTTAAAGTTACATAGAAATCATGTATGACGGAAATATTCTACATAAAATTGTCTAAAAAATATCCCGCAACAGAATATGTCTATCTTTTATGGTTGACTCACAATAACACGTGTAACTCCTGATAGCTTAGCAGTTCGGAGCATTCTGATTATATTTGTTTACTCTTACGTTTATAATACTCTCATTCATCCCTAATTTAAAAAAGTTAACATTATTACCTATTCAATAAAAAAACAATCATAGAAATCGGTATAGAAACACCAAACTTATACATGAAATAAGCCATCGCGCCGTCGCACGTGAATACTGAATCATGTTATAAGGATTATTTTTGTGTAACGGTTGGAAACACTGATAATTTTAGAGGTTTTTAATGTAGGATCGTAAATAAACACATTTTTTTGCGCTTACATTGCAAACGCTGGCTGAACCCTACGAGATCGATCAAAATAATGTACTACAGTATTGTATACCTTAAAAATGTCTACAAAAAAGTCCACCATGGTATCTTTCCTATCTCTTACGGATAACCCACAGTAACCATTGTATATCCTATACTTTTTACGAGATATAATAGATTATTTACGAAGCGATTTTCAGCAATATAACATTCTTGCTTATCTAATTAAGTACCTTAAATACATTGTGCATTTAATATAGACCAATTTGGCTATTTAACGCATGTAATTTAAATGAATATTTACGAAGATATTACAGATTTAAAATGCAGGGACATAGCGGTTCCGACAAACCGGGCGGGGGGCCTGGCGGCGCGTGCCTATTGTAATTATGTATTAGAAGAATGTCATTGTGTATAAATACAGGCCTGAGAACAAAAACTATAGTCTACACTACAGCTCTACACCGAAGCGAAGCGCGGGCGGGCTACTAGTTATCAATAAAAATAAAACAAAAGATATTTTTTAACTTCATTGTAATATGACTCGTACAAACGTATGGTTAAATCAGCAATCTATTAAGGTGCAAATTATATTTTTTTACACTAATATTAAATTATTTTACGATAATAAGTTTAATATACCTTATAATGTTTTTTGTTCAGCTTGATCTGAGTCAAACAATTATTTCATGTAAGGTAACAATCAAAATAAATAAATAGAATAAAAAAGTGACTAAGAAAAAATAATAAAGTTTCTTTGATTATTATTTGACGTTTTTTATTTAACGTTTAATGAGACATATTTTTATTAATCGTTAATTATTAAAACTACCCTATATAGTAACAGGCCTACCCTATTTATAAATTTATTATTATTATATATTTATTTATAGTCAGGCAACTGATTGATGGAATAGGGAGATTGGGCCATGAATCACCACGCCAGTACATTGCGGATTGCCACATAATATATATTATTATTACTAGACATACCCATTATTTTTCCACAATTTATTCAGCTCTACCTTATGGTCAGTTGCCTCTATATGAAGAAGGGGGGAAGACTCTTAACCAGTCTTTGGCCATTGCACGCTACGTCGCCAGCCAGTCGCAACTGCTGCCTTCTGACCTTTGGCAGCAGGCAGTTTTGGATGCGGTGGTCCACAACATTTATGACTTCTGGAATAAGAACAGTAAGTATGATATAATTATGTAATCACGTATCAGTTTATCACTCGTTCTTTGTTTACCTTGACTCCATCCATATTCCATACCCAATGGAACCTTGCGACCTTACTTAGTGTCAGGTCAGATGCTGTTATCACCAAAATGTATTGTTATTTCACGGTGGACTTTTGTATGGTGTTCTACTTATCCAGAAAGACAAGATAAGTAACTTATTGTACGTACTAAATATTTGGACAGATTTTACTAAGGGAGCAAATAACTATTTACAAAGCTAGAGCGTTTTTTTTTAATCCAGAGTAGAGCGAAGGATTCATAGTACGTCGCTCGCTCTTAAAAGTAGTGTTGCTACCGAGGTGGGCACCCTACTTTTTAATTTTTATCACCCTCTCTGAGAAAATAACTAGTCATCATCAGCCTATTAATGTCCCCACTGCTGGGGCACAGGCTTCCCTATGGATGGAATAGGGAGATTGGGCCATGACCCACCACGCGGGCCCAGTGCGGGTTGGTGGGTGCTAACGACTGCAGATGCAGCCGGGACCAACGGCTTAACGTGCCTTCCGAAACACGGAGGAGCTCGAGATAGTAAATTATGGTCACCCATCCAATGACCGACCACTGCGAAAGTTGCTTAAATTCAACGATCGCTGCGGAACGCGCTAACCACTTGCGCCATCGAGCTTGCGAGAGAAAATAACTAACTGCAACTAAATTTATAGCGATATAGAGTTATCGGGAGTTAATTTAATTCTTTCATTCTCACTGCTTGAGCAAGATATATTTTTTTTAGAAAAGCCAAATAAACTCCGAATTTGTGCAAACAATTGTGAACGAAAGTGAAATGTATTTCCTGCATTTCTTCTTCTTTCACATTTGAGAGAGAGAGAGAGTTAGTTTTTATACAGCCTGTGATTTGTCCATAAGATTTTCGTGATCGATCTCTTTGGTGATTGTAAGTTTTACTACAAAATCCAGATTCCTAATTCAAAGCACTTTTAGTCCCTTGGGATTAAAACGCTATTTTGGTCCGTGTAAACAACTTTTTTTCAATGGATGTGATAAAAAATACAAGGAGCTACTCCGAGATAATGGTCCGGTTGTGTCTTCTGTCGTTACTCACCCAGTTCGCACTGGAGTCCTATTTTGGAATCGTTCGTGTACCATTGAAAGCTCTTTTTGCAAATTTTCGTTAGATATAAGAAATCCGCAATTTCCGATTCGTTGGACTACAACGAACGTTATCAATCACTCGTCTTTAGGCGAAGCTCTAAGCTAATGGTTAAATAGTTAACATCGAAAAAAGAGAAGTCAGCAGTTTACTATTTAAATACGTGTAGATGTACGATCGGAATAGTTAGTTTTTAGGGTTCCGCACCTCAAAAGGAAAAAATGGAACCATTGTAGGATCACTCTGTTGTCCATCCGTCCGTCTGTCAAGACCGTTTTTCTCAGGAACTCGTGAAGGTATCAAACTCATATCTAATACTCAGATCTACTGTCCCTTGGAGCTGTGAAAATATCAAACTTCTAAGCCAAGGCAATTAAAAGGTACAGCCGTTTATGCCGCAAATTTCCGCAACCACCTGGACAGCGTGTTTTTTTTAGTAAAATTTCCTTTAGTTTTATCTATCGAAATAGCCGTTAAAAGCTTAAAAAAATATATAATTTATAAATTTTCCAACAGAATTAGCGGAATATATGAGAGGGGACGCTGAAACGAGGGCTGCTCTCAAAAAGCAGACTTTTGAGGAGCACATTCCCTTCTACTTCCCCAGATTTGAAAAGGAACTCAAGGCAAATAACGGACATTTTGCTGGAAAGGTATCTATCTATTAACTTTTCTATATAACCTTATGGAAAATGTAAAAGCATTATTCTTCTTCAACCTTAATCTACCCACTGCTGGGTATAATAGGTCATTCTTCATCCTGCATCAATTTGCTCGATGTTGTGCCATCCGGGTACTTTTTGATGACATCGGATTATCTGGTGGGCTTCTTCTCTACGTCTCTGCGTCCTGAGGCCCAAGCACGAATTTTGACAGCTCTGTAATCGTATTGTCAAAGTTTCTATGAAAACTAAACAGCGTCCTATTAGACGTAAGTGAAGCGGAGAGCTAGTGGAATGGAATATGAAGGTCAGGATTTGAACGCAATGTATTTATTTACACTATTTTAAAGCAAACAACCAAACAATATTAAAGCAGATGACAGGAAAACTATGGACGGATAACAATTTTGATAACAAAAATCATAAAATGTCAATACGTTAAAAACACTTCAAAAATAACTATATAAAAGAGGTCGGCAACAGTAAGAAGAAACTAGTTTTTTCCATACAAAATTTAAAATTGACGATATGTAACGGAGCCGTCAAAAATTTGTGCTTGGTCGTCTGTTCTAAGAATTATACTCACTTGTATAAAGATTATACACCATAACTGGTAAATGATCTGCATTATAATATTTCTTTTTCCAGTTGACGTGGGCTGACTTCATTCTAGTGGGCATGATTGAAACTGTCAACCTTTTTTACGGCGAAAACATCGAAACTAACTACCCTACAATCGTTGCTCTCGTCAAGACAATCCAAAATCTACCCAAGGTCAAAGAATATATAGCGACAAGGAATCCTTACACTTTTAAATAAACAAATTATTCAGCTTTACAGTGTGATTTATTTATTTGAGTATTTTAATAAAGTATATAAAAACAATGTAGTAGTTATCTACTAGTTGTTATGACGGTTGGTATACGGTTGGTAACCGGCCTCGCTTGGATAGTAACTGTCACTTTCAAATTATGATCTCGTTGTGACTATCGTCAAATAGTACTGGCCATTTTTGACCTTCCTACTTCAACTGAGGCCCTAGCATTAATTTTTGACAGCTCCGTAACGTATCGTCATCGTGAAATTTTGTATGGAAAAAACATGTTTGTTCTTACATCCGATAGGGGCGCTACTTAGTTTTCATATAAACATTGACGATGCGATACGTTGCGAAGCTTCCCTCCGATTCCGTCGGCCTTGACCTTAGATTCCTCCCACACAGCCCAGAAACACCAACACAACACAGCTTGCAAACCTGCACACTAGTGCGAAGACCCGGTCTACACTGTCTTTTGATTGTGTAAATAAAATAAAAAATACTTGTCCAATACTTTAGATAATCTACCAGATTGCTGAAGAAAGAAAAGTTACCTGGGCGTTTTTCCCCGCCCCCCATGATAACGGGTAACTAGAGTCAAGGTCCGAGTCTCAGAGACGCCCTCTAGTTGAGCCAATCCCCTCAGGTTCCATAGGCTCCAGACGGAGAGGAGACTCCCCCAGACCTGGGGAGATGCCATAAGCCTGGAATACCTCTAGAGGCACTCGCCAATCTCGGCTTGAGGCCCCTTGAGGTAGGATCTCACCATTCCCAATACGGTGACGCTGTAAAGGTCATCTGCGACCAACAGCATACACAAAAGTTACGGAGCTGTTAAAATTCGTGCTTGGGCCTCTGAACAGTTAAAGTAAGTTGGTGCAACACAAGCTATGATTTTTGGCCGTGTTGTTTCATCAATAGTAAAATTTGACTACGGTTTAAGTCACGTCAAATATATAGTAAATGTGTAAATTTTTGTCAAATGGTTTTCTATTGGGTTTAACTATAGTCAAATTTAAGTGCAGATAAAACAACGCGGCCTGAGGGTCGACAAATCATGCTCGTCTCGGTGTACTTATTAAGTAGGAAAGTAAAATGCTTCTTTTAAAAACTCTCCAATTCTCGGCTTGAGGTCCCCTTAGGATCTCGCCGTCCTCAAACCCGGTGACGCTGTAAAGGCCATCTGCGACCAACAGCATACTCACTAAAAAAAACTTATAAATGAAACTACATTAATGATATGATAGTGTAATAATGGATTATCTGTATTTCATCGCCTGTTTTACCTCTACGTCAAATTCATATGTAATGCTATCAAAATCATCAAAGTAGGTAGGTAACATAAAATAAATGCATACGTGTATTTTTACTCACAAAACATGTTTTTATTAGGTATATCTAGTTAAGATAAGGATATGGTAGATAAGACAATAGTACTTCCAATTTTTTTACTAACAGCTGGGAGCTGCCAGACCTTACTTAAATATCATTTTATTATAGCTGTAAAAATCAAGACAATTCTTATTTAATATAAATAACGATATTTCTAACAAACAATTTGATTTATGGCCCACTTGTCCGATAATTTGTATTTTATCTTACTTATATTTGTCAACAAAATACTCTTTTGGCTTAGACTTTAAATTTATTTATCAGTTTAATAAAAATAACACAGTCATTTTCCATATCGTACATTTGTTATTTATTTACGTGATTAAAGAAGATTACTTCGTTTAGTTTGTAACAATATTATACATACTTGTATTAAACCATTATATAACTATTTACTTTTCTATAAATAATAGTAGGGGAGCCCAAGTAGGGATTTTGGGATTTACTAGAGTGCGACAGAATTACAAAAGGTGGGCAACCTGCTACCTTGTGAAGTACTCGAACCCGAACGTCCCGTAGCTTCTAATCAAAAGACTGACGATTTGGACGCGACGAAAGTCATAGCCGATTAAATCTAAAGATTTTATTTTACTAGAACAAATCAACGCGGTCCAGTTAGCAGCCGGGACTCGAACCCGCACCCTCCGCTATCCGGGCGGGCGCACTGACCATTATGCTACCGCGGCCGTGATGAACATGTCGAATTATTTCTAGTATCACTTAGGCTGCAAGGCAGCGCCATCTCTTCGAATTTTAGGTAATAGGATGAATCGAAAATCGCGTTTTTTCTGCAATATCTTGCGCATAGGCGTCATTACCCATGAAAAAATTAAACACATAGCTTTTTATTGAAAGACAAACCGCTATTAGTGTTTGTCAAAACAGCTGATCAGAAAAGAAAAGAAAACAGCAGAAAAATCAAGACAGCTGATGCCCACATTTAATTCAAAATCAGAATTGAAAGGGTCTACAAATAACATATGTGTATTGTACAGATTAAATAGTTATTGTAAATATTGTAAATAAAATTCACCCTGATTGGTTGGTTGGGAAGGCTTGAGGTAGGACTCGCCTTGCAGCCACGTCCTCGCCATAAGTACTGGGTCATTTCAGCACAGATTAAGTGGTGAAATGAGCTGAGAGCTGCAATATGATATGTATGGTTGATACATTTTTTTTGTAAATCACTTGTAAGAGTCTTATTACAAACTTCAATGTGTTATATGAACATTCTCAGATATGGAAAACGGTGTTTTAACGGGAGTCTATGCCTTAATTTATACTATAATTTAGACCTTATGCGCGAATACATTTAAGGAATAACAGGTCTGAAAGTATTATTTCTGGATTGGGAAAACTATTTTGAATGGTTTTTACACTATTACATATTAAAAATAAAACTAATAGGGGTTTTGGTACATGTTTAAAAATCGCCGAAAATCATGAAATATCGTTGTTTACGATACAACTAGTGATGTGCCAGATATCCGTATCCGTATTCGTATCCGCGGATATCCGAGGCAGAAGAAAGATCCGTATCCGTGTCCGTATCCGTTACTTTTGGGGGATCTTTTACGGATCTATTTACCTTATTAATTTTGATTTGAGGTTTGTATTATCCCACATTTTAGCTTTATCCATGTATTCTTTAAAAAAAGTCTGTTAAATTCTCTTTTTACCGTTTGTAAAGATGTTCCCGGCCGTGATATTTCGTCGATACTCTTCTTAGCAGAGTCTTCTTTAAAGAATAATTCATATTCTTGAGGATGTTTTCTTTGTTAATGATTTTTTAAGGAAGTTGTGTCTTTACCTTTACGAGAATACTTTCCATCACAAATTTTACACTTTGCACATTCATCATTTATTATCACAAAATAATTCCAAATTACACTACTAAACTTCTTTGTAAACATTTTTTTAAACTCATGTACCAATACCAAACACAAGCGTTATCTATGCTGCCCAGTGTCACATTAAACTAAAATAAAACAAAAAAAAACCCGCCGCGCAATGGTAATCGAAACATGTCTCAAGATTGCGCGCACCGACACCGATTGTGTAAGAAAGTTAAGATCCGTATCCGTATCTGCGGATCTTGACACCAAATATCTGTATTCAGATCCGTATCCGCGGATCTACATTTTTAAAGATCCGGCACATCACTAGATACAACCCGCAAATTTAGACCTTTTGCGCGAATTCAGTAAAACAAAAATGGGTCTTATTATATTTTGTACGCATTAAGGACTATTTTAAAAACACTTTTTTCACTATTACAATAAAAAAAAAACTTTTTTAGTATTTTTTCATTTTATTTAAACTTATCAGTATTTTGACTTTTTTGGTAACATAAGTTGGTAACATATATTAAATCTAAAGAAAATATAACTAGAAAAAATTCCACGCGGACCAGGCAGCAATTTAAACATCAAGCAGTTACATGCTTTAAAAATAATAAAAATTATAAACATATATTAAAATTTTGAAAAAAAAATACATTTTTTCCGCGCTATTAGAATTATATTGCAGAAAAACGTATTTTTCGATCCACCTTAGTAGGTAACCCACAATATCATAGCTGATTGTTGAAATTTGTTTTTTACTGCCCTTGACGTTCGACCCTACATAAAGGATTCAGGTATGGTGGGAGTACTTCACAAGGTGCAAATCCCAAAATCCTCGCTTGGGCTCCTCTACTATATTAATCATTTCCGCTGGTATTAATGTAATAAGTTAACATTTAAGCAGATTAATCATCTAAACAGTCGAATATTATCTGCAGCTTCTTATCAAATCTACCTAAGTCTAACCAATGTTATATTCAACAAAAGGACTAGCTATGCAATTGAGTAGTTATTTTATTTAACAAGTGTGGTTGTGGAATTAAATGACCATTCAATTGTACTGCTAGTAAATACATCGACAGCGACTTTATTGCGAAGTACTTAGAGCGTGATTCGTACAGTATGTGTGTTTGTCGACTGTAGATATAGAGTTTTTTCTATTCCGTTTATCATATCATACGGCAGCCAAATCATAACGCTTTATAAAAGTGATGTAATGACAGCTTCTCGGTATTAGTTCGTGAACGATCGGTGCGCGCACAATGGCCAAGAAACTCCAATACTTTAACATAAATGGCCTTGGGGAGTCAATAAGGTATATGCTACACTATGGTGGGCATAAGTTTGAGGACATCCGATACGAATTAAAGGACTGGCCGATACAAAGTGTGAAAGACTGTGAGTGTTTAATTCAATTACTTTTTCAGTTAGTTAACATCAATTTATAAAACTAAAATTAGACTGTCCTTTGTAATCATATAAAAAAAAACTTAATTAAGAAATTCAATCTAACAAATAAATTTAGAAAAAATATAAATATACACATAAAAAAGTATAAGCAACATGAATCATAAACACAAACTGCATGTTTTATCAGTTGATATTTTATATTATCATAATTAAATGTAAATAAAATATATTTAAGTTTCTTCTTGATTTAGGTAGTCACTAAGAAATCTAATTGGTTATTATTGAAAAAAGAATATAATTATTAAACATTATTAAAATCGGTCCACAGTTCAAAATAGATTGACTTTGCTTAGATCTAAATGTTTCCAAGTAAATGAATGTTACTTTTTGTCAAACACGTAAATTGTATGGAAATATGATTAACTAATAAATTCCTAGGAAACTTAACAAACACCATTTTATACCCTGTTTTACAACAAAAACTGTTGTGTTTAAAACGAAAATTTTATTCAGTCTATTTTTATCCTCAAGGTTGTTTCTATGTCAGTACCGAGATCATATAAAAGTGGTTTAGCCTTGAAACAGTGACAAACAAATGGTGAGATTCATTCGCATTTATAATATTTGTATGGATTAGTCTAAAAGACAGTTAGGCATTTCTTTCGTCCTCGTCAATTCATGATCAATATTATTATCTTAAATCACTATTTTGCATTTGGATAAGATAATATTACTATAGTATCCAGAACGGTTCGACCGGTTCGGTGATTATATAATTATATTTTATTCGTAATTGATTCAACATTTGTATGAAAATAAAGAAGAAAAATATTTCATTACTCAATTGCATTATCGATCCACATAGTAACAGATATGAGGAAAAAAATTCAAAATCTTATCATGATAATAGTCATCGTCCGATATTTATCAATGATCTAATTTTAAATACAATGAAATATAACAATGTTTATATAATTATCTATTAATATTACAATGTTTTACGATAATAACTTCCTATTTATATACCGTTTCGGAAATTAATTTTTAAAATAAAATTGATAGTTCGGGTGTTTTTCTTTGAATGCAACACAAAAAAGCAAAACTTTGTAATTAAGTATGCTTACTTCTTAATCCTACAGTAATAAGTTGTTATAAATTTGCTCGATAATCAAGTTGGTTTGTTTTTTATTATCAAACATTATAACGGTAAGGAGAATAATACGTAGTGGATAAAGCGCAAAGAATAATAACAGGACACGTCAGCTGATATTTTTTTCCGTTATTGAGGTTAAAACTAATTATACCAACATATACCGTGAATTTTGAGTTAGGTACCTGAGAAACTCAGAAATCGTATAAAAAAAAATAGTGCGAACGATTTTAAACACTAAACGTACTACACCCCCATTCAAAAATACAGATTTATATCGCTCACAAAATATCCTGAAATGGCGCAAATTTGTAAATAACATACCTATTATTATCCGTTTAAAGTACGTAGATCCTAAAAGTACCTTAATTTAAATCGTTAAGGTTTCATAATTGCACAACTAGTGTTAACGCACTAAGTAGCTGTGCAATTATGTGGAGACATTTTTCGAAAAAAAAAAATTAAGAAATAGTGTTTGTCGAAATTTAACCCATAATAATAATAACCATAATCATTGTCTAAATTAGCTAGTAAAGTTTCTCATGTAACTCAAAATTCACGGTGTATAATTATGTTTCTTGTAGACGTAGTTTTTTCTGTTATACTCAAGAAATTGAACATAATTATTATGACCTTCGTTGCTGGAGTGACTTGCACATTGGTTTTTGTCATGATTTTATCGTGTCATCATCTCTGACTTGCGTGTTTGTGTTATTATGTAATTTCGATTTCCATAACGCAAGGAATGGATGAATGACATTATATACGGCATTATACAGCTGGAGCTGAGTAAAACAATTATTTCATGTGAGGTAACAAACAAAATAAATAAAATAAATATTTCCAACACTCATACCAATTAGCCTAGACCCAAAGTAAGCACGGTAAGGCTTGTGTTAGGAGATACTAGGGCAACGGATACAATACATATACATTATATGCATAATCATATAGAAATACATATTAAACATTCATGACTGGAGTATAAATGCTCGTATTCGTCACACAAACATCTGCCCCCACCCGGGACCTCTCGATTGTGACCTGTGGCGACACCTTGTGACCCGGCATACAAACCACTTGGTCATGGAGGTCGTCAAGAGAATAAATAGAATAAAAAAGTGACTATAAAAAATAAATAAAGTTTTTTTGATTCATTTATTTGCCTGCCACTTTATTTTTTTATTTAACGTTTGATGCGACATATTATTATTAATCGTCAATTAGTACAACAGTTTATTAACAACATGCAAAACAGCATGTTGTTAATAAAAAAAAGAATAACGATTCTTTTCAAACTCACTTCTGTGTGGGTTTCCGTTACATCTTAAACTCTGATGTGATTCCATTATGATGATACGAGTATGTATGTATAATACATTCATATTATCATCAGCTTATTAACAGGCCTTCCCTATGGATTGAATATGGAGATAGGGCCATGAATCACCACGCCGGTTCAATGCGGATTGCCACATAATAGATATTATTGTTACTAGACATACTATTTTATTTTTTAATTTTTTCAGCTCTACCTTATGGTCAGTTGCCTCTATATGAAGAAGGAGGGAAGACTCTTAACCAGTCTTTGGCCATTGCACGCTACGTCGCCAGCCAGTCGCAACTGCTGCCTTCTGACCTTTGGCAGCAGGCAGTTTTGGATGCGGTGGTCCACAACATTTATGACTTCTGGAATAAGAACAGTTAGTATGATATTATTATGTACAAAATCTGCTAGGTACTCAAATATATGTCCAGTCTGATGATAAGTGGACACCAAGGACGAAAGTGGTTGAAAACTCAATGGATTGGTGGGTGATAACGGATCCAGCGCGGATTGGTGGGTGGTAATGGACGCAGTGCGGATTGGAGGGTGATAACTGACCCAGCGCGGATTGATAAGTGACAATAGACCCAGTGCGGATTGGTGGGTGATAACGGACCCAGTACGGAGTGGTGGATGATAATGGACCCAGCGCGTATTTGTGGGAAATAATGGACGCAGTGCGGATTGGAGGGTGATAACGGACCCAGCGCGGATTGATAAGTGACAATGGACACAGTGCGGATTGGTGGGTGCTAATGGACTAGTGATTTTATTTCCGTCAACAAACCTTCAGGTTAAGTTATGATTTTCAGATCATTAGAGCTAAAGAAGTTTCACTTCAGTCGTGTGGTCATAAGCACACTCGCACACATTAGTTTTTAGTTTAGACGTGTTTGTGCTCTTGTGAGAGCATAGATACGTATCAGTTTATCACTTGTTCTTTGCTTACCATGACTCCATCCATATTCCATACCCAATGAAACCTTGCCACCTTACTTAGCGTCAGGGACAACATTACCAAAATGTATTGTTGGATATGTGTATGGTGTTCTACTTATACAGAAAGACGTTTCAATTCGGCCGAACAATTCTCGGAGTGTAAGAGATAGAGGAGTGAGAGATAGATTAGTAAAAGACAGAACTAACTCGTCGAAAAGATTTGTAAAGTGCCTTCAGACCTAAACTTAACGTTGTCAGTCACTGCGTGAGATTCCAAGATATCAAGCTATTTAATGTTCTCCCTATAGAAATGAAAACCATTTACAGTCAATATAAATTCCAAGACAAACTTAAAATGTTCTTATTGATAGAAGTGTTACTATTCCATAGAAGAATATTTAGATGACATAATTTAAATCTAATATGAAATTTCTTTGACATGTTTAAATTATAGTCGATTTATTTCAAATTGTATGCTGCCATTTTAATAATATTTAATTTTATTAATATTGCATGAAGTAGTTATTTAATAGTTATAATTTTTATTATTTTTAAAGCATGTAACTGCTTGATGTTTAAATCTAAAGAAAATATAACTAGAAAAAATTCCACACGGACCAGGCAGCAGACGGGACTCGAACCCGCACCCTTCGCAATCCGGGCGAATGCACTGGCCAATTATGCTACCGCAGCCCTCACGGACCGCGTCGAAATTCCTTCTAGCTATTCTTAAGCTGCAAGTTGCTTTCAAATGTTTAATACTTGTAAAAGTATTCATTTGACATTGTGGGTTTACCTATAATGCGAAGAGATGGCGCTGCCTTGCAGCTTAAGAATAGCTAGAAGGAATTTCGACGCGGTCCGTGAGGGCCGCGGTAGCATAATTGGTCAGTGCATTCGCCCGGATTGCGAAGGGTGCGGGTTCGAGTCCCGTCTGCTGCCTGGTCCGTGTGGAATCGTGTGCATATGATGATGATGATGATATTTTCTTTAGTTATTTAATTCTAAATTGTTTGATTGACTTTGAAATGTTATTATAAAAGAATTTTTAAAATTTTATGCTAATCATATTTGGTTTGTAATTTTAATTTTAGCTAATAATTTTATTGTAAATCTTTTGTGATTTCCAATACGATGAAAATTGTTTAAGGAATAAATGACTATGACTAAGACTATGATAAGTAACTTATTGTACATACTAAATATTTATGAGGCGAGAGCCTTTTTTTTTAATCCAGAGTAGAGCGAGGATTCAAAGTACGTCGCTTGAGCTTTAATGTAGTGTTGCTCCCGAGGTGGGCACTCTACTTTTTAATTTTTATCTCCCTCTCCGAGAAAATAAGTAACTAGAAATAGAGTTATCAGGAGGTAATTTAATACTTTCATTCTCACTATTTGAGCAAGACACACTATTTTTTTTATAAAACCAAATAAACTCCGAATTTGTGTAAACAATTATGATCGAAGGTGAAATGTATAACAAGCATTTTTTCACATTTTTTTTAATTTCACAAGCGCGTGGGTTGTTTTTATACAGCCTGTGATTTGTTCATAAGATGTTCGTAATTGATCTCTTTGGCGATTGTAATTTTTACTACAAAATCCATATTCCAAATTCAAATCACTTAATAAATAATCCCTGGGGATTAAAACGCTATGTTGGGCGCTGTAAACAACTCTTTTCCAATAGATGTGTTAAAAATATAAGGAGCGCCTCCGAGCTGTTGATTCGTTTGTGTCTTCTGTCGTTACTTACCCAATTCGCAGTGGAGCCCTATTTGAGATGTTCATGTGCCATTGAAAGCTATTTCTGCAAATTTTCGTTAGATATAAGAAATCCGCAATTTTCGATTCATTCGACTACAACGAGCGTTGTCAATCACTCGTCCTTAGGCGATGCTCTAAGCTAGTGATAAAATAGTATACGTCAAAATGAAATTCAGCAGTTTACTATTTTTTCTTTAAAAAGACGTTTAGATGTTCGTACAGAATAGTTAGTTTCTTCTCTATGATATCAATATCATAATACTGAAATCACTGAAACGAATGATTAAAAAATGCAGAAAAAGAACGTCATGTGACGTAGGGGTCGAATTTAAACGAGCGATTTAAAAATAGGTCTCTTGTTCCCGCAGTATGACCACCGCGATTATAATATCACATAGCCTTTTATTAATATTTAACTGTCAAATTCCAATGTAATTTAAGAGTCAATGTCGATAAATTGCTTTATCATTGTCGTATTATGGTGGTCATGGTATGGGTTATGAACATGATTCATTCGCTGTGCTGAGCTGTTATTACTGCGTACACAGCAGTCTTTGTTGCGAAATTCATCCAGTTAGTTGAAGGTTATTACATAACTTATTAAACGTGTTAGCAATGCAAAATGTGGGACAGGTTCGGACATCGAACCCAAAATGTCTGAAGTTCATGGGATTTAGATATTTTTTAAGAAAATTCCATGCGGGCCAGACAGCAAACGGCAAAATTTCTTTTAGATTTATAAATCTATCCAGCCGTTAAATATATAATTTTATATATTTTCCAACAGAAATTGCGGAATATTTAAGAGGGGACGCTGAAACGAAGGCTGCTCTCAAAAAGCAGACTTTTGAGGAGCACATTCCCTTCTATTTCTCCAGATTTGAAAAGGAACTGAAGGCAAATAAAGGATATTTTGCTGGAAAGGTATCTATTTAATTTTATTTCCATAGCACCATGAAACTGAGCTTTGGAAAACAGTGCAGTATCCGAAGAATACTTTTCTTACATTCAAATTATTAAAAAAATCCTAAATTATTAAAATTCTTAGTATCATGTTGTTCATCAGTTTACGTGAATTGAGTGTGGCTGCAAAAAATATAGCGATTAGAAAAATAAGTAAACCTTTATCAAGTTAAAACAGCGGTTTTGTATCTCAGCACTATTTTATTTTGACCAAAACAAGCAAATAAAATCACATAATCGTAAAAATAATGACAGACGAAAATTTCCAGGAATTAATATAAAAAATATCGATGTCTATAAGTCCCTTGATGCTGATAATGATGATATAGATGTAGTACATCATTAGTTAGTTAGTTAACATTTTCAACAACAATTACTTCCCTTAGCCGATATAAGACCATCTTCAAATTTTCTCGGTATCCTTATAGCTCCCATGTACACTGAGGTGACGGCGACTCCTTACATCTTTAACATAATTATGGGGTGAAACAATTCGCTCCACGTTATGGAAAATGTAAAAGCATTGTACTTCTTTAACTTTTGTCTACCCACTGCTGGGTATAGTTCGCCTTCATGCTGCATCAATTTGCTCCGATATTGTGCCATCCGGCTACTTTGGTGATGACATCGGACCATGTGGTGGGCTGCTTCCCTACGTTTCTGCGTCCTGAGAGGCAAGCACGAACTTTGATAGCTCCGTAATTGTATCGTCAAAATTTATATGAAAACTAAACAGCGCCCTATAGAAGTAAGAATAAACAAGATTTTTCCATACAAAATTTAATAATGACGATATGTTACGGAGCTGTCAAAAATTCGTGCCTGATCGTCTGTTCTAAGAATTATACTCGCTTGAATAAAGATTATACACCATAACTGGTAAATGTTCTGCATTATAATATTTCCTTTTCCAGTTGACGTGGGCTGACTTCATTCTCGTGGGACTGATCGAGACTGCCAACCTTTTTTACGGCGAACACATCGAAAGTAACTATCCCACAATCGCTTCTCTCGTCAAGACAGTCCAAAATCTACCCAAGGTCAAAGAATATATAGCGACAAGGAATCCTTACATTTTTAAATAAACAAATTATTCAGTTAGTGTGGTTTATTTATTTCAGTATTTTGAAAAAGTATATTAAGTAATTAGCAGAACTTTTTGTTTAAAGAATATTCCTTATATTAAAATAATTTCTTTCGACATTAGGGATGATGACTAACTTTTCTATCTTCAACAATCTGGTAGATTAACAAAAGTATTGGACACTTAATTTTTATTTTTTCACACAATCAAAACATTACATAGATATATTTGATTTGAAATGTGGCGTAACGTCATACGCGTACAATTTTCAATTAAATGTGATATCACGAGCCCCCACTCCCAAACATTGACGCGCTTTATCTTTGTGTTTTTTTTTTGTTTCATTGACAAAAGGAAAAATAAGTTTTCATTAGTTTTTGATAATCTGACGGACTAAATAGAATTTTATAGTTTATCACATCATTAATCCCTATTCTTAGCATAGAATAGGGGCACATGAAAGGAAAAAAATAAGTAAGAAATTCGACTGATTCGTCAAGGTTTTGGGCTACCAAATCGAATTAGTGGAATTTCTTCGTCTTTTTCGATCTTCTAGCTGCCAGAAAGCACTATTTAATTTTTGACATTGCAAATAATTAAAATATATGCGATACTTATGTAGGTATTTAACAAAAAGCAATGTAGTAGTTATCTATTAATTTGTACGACTAGTACGTACGTTTGAACGGTGGCGATAAAGCCTCATACTGTTATGATCTTGAATTCGAATTCAGGGGCGTTTGTTTTTGTGATGGCAAATTATTTTTCCTGCACAATTGTTGTTTACAAAGATTTACGTATTCTAACAGCTATTCACCGTGGTTCTTCTGCTTCCAGTGCAATGTGGGTTTGAATTAAAATTCTCCCTTATAGTGTCATGAAATATGAAAGCTGATTAAAATATATTCTCCCAAAACCCATATAACTCAATCAAAGGCCTTCGTATGTACCAAAAAATCACAATAAACAAAAGTTTGCCCCATACAACGTCATTATGGGTTACCCGCTCTTTTCTATAATGATCTGTAAGCAATACGCCGTTTTAACCGAACCTTTGCGACACTCAAAGCAAACTCCCAGAAAGTAATTAGAACAAAACTAATTTTCGAGACTTCACCGCTTGTCGCGCCAACAAAGAGTTCTAACGTTTGCAAGCAGAACTTTGGGCCGATGATTCGGAGTACATCAAGTTTGGGTCACCTATTTCATACGAATGAGATTTGTTTTAACCGTGATTAATATTCCGAAGAGAGTGTGCCTTAATTGAGTTCCGTTTTAATCAAATATTACTTTGTGAAAAACCAGTTTGTATTCGAGTGACTTGTCGCCAGAATGCTTACACGCTGAATAGGGAAGTCAAAAGTTTAAATGGACGTAGTTTCGTGGATAAAGGTCAGCATATGGACCAATTCTAGCTTTAGTGTAAAGTGTAATTTAGTTCAACATGATTTATATTAGGTCAAAAGTATTAATTATAGGAAACTGGCGGGTGCCCACGATTTTTTCTTCATGGACAAAATTGGTTTCTCACACAAGCTTCCACGCCCTCTATCCGCTTAAAGTATGAATTCTGGAATAAAACTATTATTGATCCTTTTCCTGAGACTCAAACTATCTCCATACCAAACTTCATCAAATTCAGACAGACAGACATAATTTAGCTTTATATAGATGTTGGAAATAACTAAAAGGCGTCTTGGGACATGTGAAAGATAAAAACTATATTTTTATTAATAAAAAAACCAAAGGATCATACATAATTAAGTACATGATGCTTTTGTATGTGTTCTTTAAAAATGTAAGTATTTTTATTTCACAAGGAACTGACACTATTTAACAAGCCATTCTTTCAACGGCGCATCATAACATGAGCGCAGAACAGTTCATAAAATTACTCGCCCTAATACTAGATAATTTGCAACTGCAGAATTTCAGTACACAGTCTACTAGCATTAAGCTTAAGAGCGCTTTTTGCCTTTATGAAAAACAATTTCTCCTACAGTATTTTTTCTAATAACATTATTTTTAAGGGCAACATTATTGACGCTAAAAACTATTTATTCGTTAGAATAAACAAATATAACAAAAAAAACTGTAATGACCAAAAATTTAGAAAGTTTAACATTTAGATATATAAAAATGTGATAAAGAATTTGATGTATAACAAAACTTATGATTTTTAAGGTTATCTTATGACTTCCAAACGTCATATTTTGGAAATCATAACATTGATTACATTATTAATTAAGATTTTAACAACTAGGTTGATGTTTTCATATAAAAAAAAAAAACGGCAAGGAGAAGATTCAGCACTTTTTTCTGCCACAACAGCTGAACATTGCAACTGGACTCCACTTGCATCAGGTAATTTACCATGACCTGTACCCCAAGCACTAACAACTAGCGAAAAGTATTTGTATCGCCATCGTCAGTTTGGAAACTAAGCAGCGTCCCTACAGGACGTTAGAACAAACTATCTTCTCCAATGAAACTTTCTCCGTAGCTGTACAAAAAAAAAACTTCAGAAATCGTCAACTCATCTCTCATCTCATCATACCTACAAAAAAAAATTAAAGAGAAAATAGAACTGAAGTCCTGACCTTAACAGAGTCCCTTATTAAAAGTACAACGGGTGCCGTAAGGGATGCAATATTTTAGACCCCCGCGGAGATTATCAACAGGTGTGCCCAGTCAGGCGGCAAGTCATAACTACCGGGGAAAAATAATTGTAGCAGATCCTTGGTATATAGTGCTTTTTTTTTAGATTTCGTTATGAAGTCCATAGTGCGACAGTGTGTTTTGTCTTAAATAAGTAATTTATACATATGGATTTGTTCGAATAGATTATAATAAAGAAAAAGAAGACACATACAAAATAGGACTTTCAGGGACTAAAACTAGTGTGAGATAGAATAACATGTTCTGTACATGGAAAAGTTTAATCCAAGGTCTGCAGCGGCGATTAGATAATATTAATGCGTTTGATAAAGCACTGTTTCAATGGGTTTCAGATGAGTTTTTTTTAAACCTTTTATACATTCATTAACGTCTCTGATCCTTTACATTAGGATCAGGCTCCATTCTTAATAGTATGATTTTAAATAATTAGTAGGATCTACATTCGAACTTTAAGTAATTAAACGTTCGTAAAACTTCATTGAAAGATTAATGAAAACTAGCTTTCCAATATATTGTATTAATAAGGAATCCTGACTGAAGTTAAAGCCATTCTGTGTATCGTAAGGTAACACATACTGATAGGTACCTCAGTGGTATGTAGGAAAACCAACTTTTGTTTCAGAGAGCACGGGGCTTCTGTGACAAACAACATTTGGCAGAGCTTCTTCCCTGAACTAACCACGTCGCATACGCACCAAACCTAGCATAGTTGACTGACAACCTTCTGTCTGATGATTCTGAAGCCCGCTTCGATTAATACTTACTTTAAGCCACTAAAAAGATCAACCATTTTCTACGACCTGTCAAGTGTAATATACCCTTTTAAGTCGCTGGTATCTACAAATTTGAATGCGAGAGTGGGCTCTCCTACATTACGCAAATTAAGAGGAGTATAGGGACTCAGAGGTTAAAGAACATATTGCAGATATGAAAAATAGGCGTGAAAAAAAGCCTGCAGTGTAAGAACATGCTTTAAGGGGATCAAACCATTGCATTCGATTTGATAAACCACAGATCCTTGCAACTGAACAGCGGTTCATTCCTAGAATGATACGCGAGGCTATTGAGATTAAAATACATCCAAATGACAATGCCAGATTCTGACCCACCATTAACAGTAAAATTAAATTTATAAAAAAAAATACGACTTTATTCTCGTACTGATTTAATTATTACTTAGTATATCTTGTAGATACGAAATAAACATTAAAATAATGTGTACCTACTGTTTCCGTTAGGAGAAGAACGAAAACATGACATATGCGTTTTGTTGCACGACAATCAATAAAATATCAATCAAGTTTACGAAAAATATCGTTCTCTTTTTTAATATTATAGATCTAATACGCATTTTGGTTAGAAATATAATTAATTTATGTTTATAAATAGTACCTTTTATTTTTATGCGCATACACATTATTAGGTGGTAATACCTATGTGAAACTAAACGCCTGGATTGATATCCTTTTGTTTCTTTGATATTTCCTTTTCTTATGACTGTGGAGCGGTGACGGTGCGGCAAAGTGAACAAAACGAAACAAAGACGAATCGGGTGTTTTGGAAAATAATTACGACTTTTGCTTTTGAATACGGACTCGATCACGCCTTTTATAGGACCTTGTGGCTTTGTTTTTAGGATACCGATTTATTCTTTGTGATTCGGAACCATGTTGAGATGCATAAATTATTTATGTGTAGATAGAATGTGAAGGCATGTCGTTTGTACGCTATCAGCTACAATACGGACACTGTTGAATACATGGATATCGTTACAACAGGTTTGATTAATAAAAAACAAGATTTAAAGAAGTGCATTATCATATTTAAAAATTTCATTAAAATATATATATAACTAAACTATCCTTGTCCATCTAGTGGTAGCTACCACTAGATGAGTAAATAAACGATGTAAAGTTAAAATGAGTGTTTTATTAATTGAAAAATCAAGGCGCTGTAAGCAAAGTATTTATTAGTAATAATAATATACTTGAATAGACGCGATATAAAATACTTCACTATGACACTATTTGTTAGCTAGAGGTTTTGCTAGCTCTAGAATATGCTAAAAAAAGGGACACATTGTTGCTTGTATGTATAAAATATGTCTCATTTAGCAAATATATATACATATATATATTTCATATTTGTTATTATAACAACTATTTACACTATGAAGAGAACGATTTGTATGTTTGCCTGTAATGAATAAACTCGGACAGCCTCACCAGACTATTAACAATCGAAAAACAGACGAATGGGTACCTAGAAACTACCTATTCATTAAAGTTACGAAAGCGCCTATTAATAATTTATAGCAATTCC